GGAGGGTTCCCGACAAGGGAGGCCCCTGCCCGTGCTTTGGTGTTATTTATGGGCTTTTAAAGAAGCGCTGCTCACGTCGGCATCTTAAAATTAACCGGCGCCCCTCACCTTTCATCTTCAAAGCGGGGTTTAAAGGCAGTCACTCAAATTTATTGTTTTTTGTCCCGGAGGCAACTCGTACTGGAAACCTGCTGCTAGTAAATTTCGGGGCTGCGATGTGCATCTCCACCGTGCGCTGTGAAAATGCTGTTAGAGAAATAGCTCGGAGGAGAAGGAAGACGGGGAGAGGAAAAGAGATAGCGACAATTGCCTCTTCTTTCTCTTCCCCGCCTCGGATGAGGCAAGTTTCTGTTTACTTGTTTTGAGGTGTGGTTTTGACGCAAAGCCGCTTTCCCCGCAGACCCGGGACGGTGAGCTAGGCTCCCGCATGTTTCGCTGAAGGAGGAGAAAAAGGAGAGGGACACCGTCCTCCTGTGCCACCCCGGAGGGCTCACGGGGTACAGAAAAAAGTACAGCGTGTAGCGGAGCCTTGGGGGAAAAAACGCAAACTCAACCACCTTTCTCCTGGCCTTGCCAGCCCCGCGTTCCCCGTTTGCAGGGAGAGAAGCTGTGAATCCACGGAAACGTTTGTAACCTCCCCCTCCCCACATTTATCCCCTATCATTTACAGACAAGGCTCTTTTTTTTTTTTTTTTTTTTTTTTTTTAACGTCAAAAAGCATTTTTTCTGGTCAACCTGGCGCTCCTCCGCTTCGCCTTCCAGTTGACGGCGAGTAGGATGTCCCAGAGCCTGCATGCAGAAAGCCAATTACAGAACCAGGAAAGAGTTCAGCGTAACATTTCTTTACACAAACTGGCTGTTTAGCAATACGCAGCCGCTTGATGCTGGTTATTACTAACAGAGATCCGGCTACTCCCGTCAGCGTAGCATTTAAAGTCATGCGGGCTAATTGCCATCCGACGCGAACGTGGATTCAGTTTCATATGATGCGCGACTTCAGTGTCCTTTTCCCAAGACTCACTGCTGGCGTTTCTTCCCCCATTCTAGCCTAGAAAGGGGTGTTTTAACATCCAGATCTAAAAACCACGGTCTGGTTTTGCGTGAACACCCTTCACGCAACCCTGCTTCGGGGCTACGCTTCAAACTACGTTTTCTGAATGCCCTTCACGGACCCTATTTCAACCCAGCTAGGCTCTGAACTGTGTTTTTGACCCTCTGAAATGACGAGTTTGGTATAAACTGCTCCGTAACAGCTTTAAAAATGCAAAACTAGCAATACTGCACTATGCTCTCCGGGACTTAACTCAGCTGTAACTCTCCCAGATCAGGCGCAATACAGGGCTAGGCAGCGTCTGATGTAGCGCATACACTAGTATAACTTTCAGACACTTATATAAATTGTATGGCTGTAGTAAGTGAAATGTTTCTGAGACTCGCATACTTTAATCATCTGTTTTACCTCCATCTGATTAAATGAATGATAAACAGATAATTTCAAAATCGGTTTTTTGTTTTGCTTTATGTATGTACGTTTACAAAGGGCCTGCTCTGGCGAACGCTTTGGCAGGTTAATTAGAACGGTATCGCTGAGTTAAGCTCTGTGTATACTTAAACATTTTCAGAAGCAGCTCCGAATGTGTTTTAATTTTTTTTTTAAAGGGATATAATTAGGTCTCAACTGCAGGTAAACACATCTAATCCCATTGCCATGATTTTGTGCTAATGATGGGCCTGGTCCTACAGTCTTTCGTCAAGCAACAGTCAATGGAAGATTACTAAAGAGTATATAATTTTTAAAGGGTAATTTTTTTATTTCAGCATTTCGACTGTCACTAGCAATTAAACAGGCAAGTCAGGTCGACTCTCGTTCCTGCTCGGGTTCGCCGCTTATCTGGCCTACACGGTGCTGCACTGTTTAGCTTCTAGATAGTCTAAATGAGTGCTTAAATTCAGACAAAAACAATTATTCACTGTCCTGTTTTGTTACTAGATTTCATACGTCTTTGACCAAATAATTTCTATTTACCAGTCTAAAGTCAGTAATAAGCTGCCGACTAACATCATCTCCTGAAACGAGGGTTTGTTCAGAATTAATACTCAGAAAGAAAATACCCGTTCGCAGTTATTATAATTTTGGAATGTTTCTGTTTCTTCACTGATTTTTCAGGCAGAGTTAGAAGTGAGTTTACACCTTAGCAGACAAATTTGCAGCAGAAAACTGAGTGAGCTCTTTTAAACCCAGCACAGCTCTGTGTGTGTGTAAGTAAGACGTTCGGCAGAAGCGTCCAGGAGTTACGGTAAGCGA